GACTTCTTAGAGTATGAGAAACTCAAAGAAACAACCATACTCTTAGAGGTTCACTATGCATCCACTCAATGGCAGTAGACTTTTATTATTCCCACTCCTTGGTCAGTTTGTCATACTACGGTGACTTGTGTGCAAAAACAAGAAAGGTCACCCATGGTGAATAGGTTTCAGCAGAGCTTGAAGAATATGAACTGTCACTTAAAAGACAGAAAATAAAGAAAAGACCAAAGTCACTGTCAGAAAAAAAACTGAAACTTGCTTTGAAACATGGAGTAAGTAAATCAAATGGAAGAAAAAGGACTGGCTAGGCCACTTCTGAGGAAATAGCCACAAGAAACCATAGAAATAGCAGCTGAACATTGTCATGGGTAATGCCAGAAGATGCGGTCCTCAGCCTGGAAGGCAATCAAAATATGACTGGGAAAGCTGGTTCCTCAAAGAAGAGTCAGCCTGAATGACGCAGATGGAATAAACTGTTCAGAACTTCCACTTGTTTCTGTAGCATGACCCAAAATAAGAAGGCACAGCTACACGCATCTATTATTAATTGGAACATGGAATGTACAAAGTTGAATCTAGGAAAATTTTTTAATCATCACAAATGAAATTTTTTAATCATCACAAATTTTTAAATCATCACAAATGCATAAAGATTGATAACCTAGGCGTGTTGCTAAAATGAACTGGTATTAGCCATTTTGAGATAGGCAGTCATATCATCTGCTATTCCTGGAATGACAAGTTCAAGACGAATGGCATTATATTAATCATTAAAAATAACATTTCAAGATTCATTTTAGAATCACTAATTGGAAAATATGACCTTGGCAATAGAAATGAGACTGGACATATAGAGAATTTTGTAAGACCAATGAATTCTTCACTACAGATACAAATACTTTAAAAAACACACACACACAACATAAATGGTGACTATATTAATAGATTTCATCATATGGAATATAATGGAATCAAATTGACTTCATCTGGGGGAAGAAATGATGGAAAAGTTTAATATAGTCAGCCAAAATAAGGCCAGGGCTGACAATTGCTTGTGTGTAAGTTGAAGTTGAAGAAAAGTAAAACAAGACCACAGAAGCCTAAATACAAGCTTGAGTATATAGATCCCACCTGAATTTAGAGAACAATTCAAGATTTGTCTCATTGAACACTAATGACAGAAGACTTGATGAGTTGTAAGGTAACATCAAGAACATCATGCATGAATAAAGCAAAGGACCATTAAAAAGACAGGAAATAAAGAAAAGACCAAAATAGCTGTCAAAAGAAAAACTGAAACTTGCTTTAGAACATGGAGTAGCTAACTCAAATGGAAGAAATGGAAGTATATGCACAATCCTTGTGGAAAGCAATATGGTTCTACCGCAAACAACCGGAAATAAAAATTCCATATGATCCAGCAATCCCTCAGCTTCAGATATAATGGAAAGAAGTGAGAGCCAGTGGTTTTCAGGCTATAGATGACCGTGGTATCCCAAATCCATTGCCAAAATCCAAGCCCACAAAGGGATTACACCTCCAGTGAATTCCCTTTGACCAGGGAGGTGAATAGCTTTGCTATCATGCAGAGTGAAGTGGTTTTTTGGGTAGTGGGGTGAGGTGGTGGTGGTGGTGGTATGTTTTTCTCTATATGAAATCCAGCATAGGTAAAACTTTAGAGAAGGTGAATGCATTGATGGCTTCTTGTGAGGAATGACAGGGGAGGTTGGAGAGTGGGGAACGGGGCAGGCAATGGGGAGCTTATAACAATGAGTACATGTACAGGTTCCTCATGAGCACAATGCAATGTCTGGAATTCCCATTCTCAAGGTTACCCATAGTTTATCATAGTTAGGAAAGAAAGAAAAGATCAAAGTGGATGTCACAAGAGACTCAAACTTGCTCTTAATCATAGCATAGCTAAAGCAAATGGAATGAAGGATTAAGTCAAAGAGTTGAATAGAAAATTTCAAAGGGCAGCTGGAGAAGACAAAGCCAAATATTATAATGAAATGTGCAAAGACCTAAAATGAGAAAACCAAAAGGGAAGAGCGCACTCAGCATAGCTGAAACTGAAAGAACTCAAGAAAAAATTCAAGCCTCGAGTTGCGATCTTGAAAGATTCTATGGGCAAAATATTGCACGATGCAGGAAGCATCAAGAGAAGATGGAAAGTTACTGTGCCAGAAAGAACTAGCTGACAGTCCAGTTTAGGAGGTAGCATATGTGCAAGAAACCAATGGTGCTGAAGGTAGAAGTTTATGTGGCACTGAATGCATAGCCCAAAGGCTCCAGGAATTGATGGAATACCAATGGAAAGGTTTCAGTAAGCCAATGAAGCACTAGAAGCACTTACCAAGAAATTTGGAAGACAGCTACTTGGCCAACTGACTGGAAGAAACCCATATTTGTGCCCATTCCATTGATGACACAATGGAATGCTCAAAATATAAAACAATATCATTGATTGCAGGCAAGTACAGTTTTGTTGAAAATCATCTACAATAGTTGCAGCAATACATTGACAGGGAGCTGCCAAAGCTCAGGCTGTGTTCAGAAGAGGACATAGAATAAGATATCTCATTGCTGATGTCAGATGGATCTTGTTTCAAAACAGAGACTACAAGGACGATGTTTACTTGTTTTATTGGCTAAGCAAAGGTATTCAATTGGGTGGATCATAATAAGCTATGCATAACTATGAGAAGAATGGGAATTCCAGAACACTTCATTGTGCTCATTCAGAACTTGTACATGGAGCAGGAGGCAGTTGTGCAAACAGAACAAGGGAATACTACATGGTTTAAAATCAGGAATGGTGTATGTAAGGGTTGTATCCTCTCACCACGTTTGTTCAATCTGTAGCCTGAGCAAGTAATCAGAGAGTTAGACTATATGACGAAGAATGAGGCATCAGGATTGGAACAAGGCTTATTAGCAACCTGGGATATACAGATGACACAACCTCGCTTGATGAAAGTGAGGAGGACTTGAAGCACTTACTGATGAAGATAGAAAATAAAATACATCCTTCACTAGGGATTACACTTCATTCAATGTAGAAAACAGAAATCTTGGATCAAAAGACAGCATTATGATAAACAGAGAAAAGCAAAAAATTTCACCTTATATCCACAATTAATGCACATGGAAATAGCAATCAAAACAAACAATGTATTGCACTTGACAAATATGCTGCGCAGACCTCTTTAAAGTGTTGAGGAGTAGGGTGTGTGTGGCCCCTGCCATAGTATTTTCCAACCCCTCATACATTTCTGAAAGTTAGGAAGGAAGGCCACAAAGAAAGGCATTTGAATTATGGTGCTGGCACAGAATACCATGGACTTCCAAAAGAACAAACAAGTCTGTTTTGGAAAAAGTACAGACAGAATGTTTCTTAGAAACCTGGATGGCAAGATTTTATCTCCTGTTGTACTTCAGACATGTAATCTGGAGAGACCGGTCCCAGGAAAAATACCCCATGTTTAATAAAGTAGAAGGTCATCAAAAAAGATGGATTGACACAGTAGCTGTAAAAGTGACCTCCAACAGAGCTACCTAGGCACCCTCTCACCTCTAATTCTTAGTAACACTAATACGCTTTGGTCTCTATGCATTTACCTGTTTCATTAAGTAGAATTCTATTTATACTTTGCAACTAATTTATTTTAATAAGTACAATGCTTTAAGATTTGTCTAGGTTGTACCTACATGTCAGAACTTCCTTTCTCTTTATGACTAATATTCCATTTTTTAAAATGTATTGCGTTTTGCTTATTGATTAGCCCGTCAATGGGCATATAGGTTATTTACACTTAGTGGTTATTGTGAATAGCACTAAACTGAACATTGATGTGCACATGATTCTGTTTGTGTTCTTTTAATTCTTTTGGCTTCATCCCTAGGTCTGGAATTGCTGGGTCATAGGCTGGTTCTACCTAACTTTTTATGGAGTTGTTGCCAAACTTTTCCACAATGGCTGTGCCATTTTGTGATCCCACCACCATTGGACAAGGTTCCAATTTCTGCACATCTGTTATTTTTCATTTTTTACAATAGCCATTCTAGTGTGGAGGGGTTTGATTTGAATCTCTGTAATGACTAGTGAGGGCCCTGGTGCTTGTGGATTAGGCAGTGGTCTGCTCTCTGCAAGGTTAGCAGTTCAAGCGTACTAGCTGCTTCTCAGGAGAAAGATGAGCCTCTCTGCTCCTATAAAACTGTACAGTCTTGGGAACTCTGTAGAGGATCACTATCAATCAGAATGGACTAATGGTAGTGGATTTGATTTTAATGACTAGTGATAATTCCTTATGTGGCACAAATAGTTAAGTAGTAGGCTACTAACCTAAATATTAGCATCTTGAAACCCCAGAGATGTCTCAGAAAAAGAAAAACAAAATCTGATCTGTTTTCAAAAGATCAAAATAATTGAAAATCATACAGAGCACAATTCTACTCTAAAATACATAGTATTTACACAAGTCAGAATCAATTCAACAAATGGTTTGTTTTTTCTTGTTTTAATGATGTTGAGTAATTTTTCGTGTGCCCAGTGGCCATTTCTATACATTCTTTGGTGAAATATTTATTTAATTACTTTTTTTATTTTGTTGTTGTTGTTAGGTTGTAGTGGATATTAAACCTTTATTAATTACTATATAGTTCTCCAAATTTTCCTCCTAATCTATAGGTTGTCTCTTCAGTTTTCTTTAAATGCTATCATTTCCTTTAAATCAGTGGTTTTCAACCTTCCTAATGCTGTAACCCTTTAATACAGTTTCTCATGTTGTGGTGACCCCCCAACCATAACATTATTTTCATTGCTACTTCATAACTGTAGTTTTGCTACTGTTATGAATCGGGTGACCCCTATGAAAAGGTCGCTCAACCCTCAAAGGGGTACCGACCCACAAGTTGAGAACCACTGCTTTAAATGCTATCATAGGAAAAGTTCAAGTCATTTTTAGAAACTAACATAATTTTTCATTTTTGTTTTACAGAGATTTCTCCTGAAGGGGAAAAGTACAAACCTGTAATCATTGGAGAAGAAGTAAAATGCATTTCATGTGAAATAAACCCCTCAGCTACTGTTGATTATCCTTATGTTGAAATGAAAAGTCCAAAGTTTAGCGAGGCATCTCCACAGATAACATTGAAACCAGAAGGAAATTTGGATGGTATGATAATGTGTCAAAATGAGTTCTATTTAACTTTAAATACCTAAATTCTTTATGTCCAGGCTTCTGTACATAAATAATCAAAATTGTGTGTATATTTGGGTAATCAATCTCAAGTTAGGTTAAATATATTTATACTTTTACTAACTACCTTTATTTTCTACACACACACAAATCATTCCCAAACTGTAATGTTAAAGCAACAGATTAATGTATTATATTCGATTATATTTGTATCAGAAATTGAGTCAAGGCATAGTTAATGTGATTTCTGTAATCATGTGCTTTTGTGTGGGCACCCTAGGTGATAATCTAATGGCTATTATGCTTATCTGAATGGCCTAAGATGATTTCATTCCCATGCCTTTATCTTGGCAGGGCTCAGGTGGACCCACTCAGCTAAGACCCTCTCCTCCTCCATTTTAGGTTCCAAATCCTTGCCAGATGGTCTTTCCAGGGTAGTTAGACATCTTTCATGGTAGCTCAGGCTCCCAGATAACAAGATGGAAACTGCCAGTTATCTTAAAAATTAGTTTAGGCACATCTCAGACTCAGACAAAAATAGACAAAAAAAAAAAAAGAGAGTCAAAGGATGGCAAAAAATTTACCACATGAAGAAAGCTGATGGTGCCCGGCTATCAAAAGATATAGCGTCTGGGGTCTTAAAAGCTT